GGCAGTCGTACCGTCGACTCAGTGCAGTTGCACTGAGGTCCTACCTGTTGACCTTGCCACTTGTCTTCGTCTGAAAACGTGGGCCTACCTTAGACTCACCACTTGACCACTTGCCGACCTTCTAGAAGGACTAAAGCTAGGCCTCTGGACTCTACTTGGACTCCTACCTTACAGGTATACAGTTCGAATCTCCCTACAGCCTACAACCTACGGCGACCTATTTACCACTGGCTATCGTGCAGGTCACGGGTTCAACTCCAGGGAACTGTGCAGATACTGTACACAGGTAAGCTGAGGTCAAGGGATCGACCCCTGGGATCTGCGTCGGCTACTGCCAAAGGTGAAAACTGTTTCATTACTAAGAATCTCAGAAGAAAGACTGGTCTAAAAAAAACTTCACTACATTGACCATATCAAACTCCTCGTTTGATAAAGATGGAAGTCTGATTTAAACGACCAGGACTCAGTGATCACTGCGATTCTCCCTTCCAATAGCCAGCCCAGTGAGACGGATCCTGTAGGTTTTTGAAGAGTTAAGGATTGCTGAATGCTGTGATCTTGAGATTTCGCCATCTACATCTGATCTCTGTTTCCATTCGCTCTGTCAGTGAAAGTCTCCTCTTCCAGTTAGTCCACAACATGACCTTCCCGGTTAACTGGAACCACAGTCTCGCCAAACCCTGCAAACATGAAAGGAATCCCGTGCCTAGTAGAGTTGTTTGGGCTGATGGTGCAGGGCCAGGGGTGGTAGGGGGGGCGGGGAATGCTGACGAGGGAAAACGATGGCTTTAAAGCTCCAGAACCAGGTGGCCGATGTGCATGTTCTAATTCAATTCTTTTTCGTCTTTTTGTTGTTGTGGTATTGGTGTGTGGCTTTCTATTTCTGAATGTGCCAGTCTTTGTCATGTCTGGGTTCTTTCAATATGCTGAGTGGAGCAGTAACCACTGTCATGTTAGCGATTCGGAGGCAACTGAGAATTGCATTGATTTTTATGGGGCCTTCTACTTCATGATTGTTACGGTATGCAAGAAACCAATGATTCTTCAGTATCCCATCATCCACTCGACTGCATTTCCATATGGACTATTATGTACAGCCCCCCTGCAGTATAATTACCCTTGTTTGAAGCTTTTTGCTAGGGCAGTCCAGTACAAAACTAGAAAAAAAGGACGGGCAAACCCATAGAACACGACGTCATCAACTCCCATCCCACTCTCTTTGTGTCTCTATATTGTATTTGCTTGCTATTTATTAACGCGCCTTTGTCTTTTTGTAAAAAAAAAAAATTGCGATGCAAACAATTACTCAGCCCATGTTGCTAAGTCTGTGCACATGTAACTGTTATGAGTTCAGATCGTGATGAGATGAACACTGATGTTCAGGGATACCCCCTCTTTTGGAAAAGAAACAAAATGCAATGCCAACAACTTTGGTTGACAGTCACCTCCAAATTCCTTTTCTGATTGCTGGATAGAAGTTAAAATAGAAAAATAAGTCAAGATACACCCTTTAAAGAGATGCCGCAACTTACAGGAAAATGTAGAGCAAATTTTCAGAAAGCATTCCACTGAAGTGGAGAATCCTGCCAAAAAAACTGACTCTGTGAAAGAAAGGCGACTGGGCAACAAACATGGGACAAGAAGTTCCAACCTTCAATCTAAAATTCGTTAGGTATGCTAAACAGGATAAGTCAGAGGCTGGATTTGAGGTCTGTGAAACAACACCAGGGTGCTCACTGGCAACCATAAGGAGCCCCCAATAAACTTGGACTTCTACAGAAATAGTCTCAGACTCTGAGGAGAGTCAGAGTGCTAGGAAGGGACAAGAAGTTCATCTTTGGACGGAACAAATCATTATGGGAATGGGAAATTGACCCAGCAGAGTGGGGATGGTTGAGAAAAGGGGAGGATGCTCAAGCTAGTGCGATCGTACACTGGCCGAAGGCTGCATGGACACCTGTGTTGGGTGTGATGGGTACACCGGGTCGGGGGGAAAAACGGGTACGCGTGCTGGGGTTAACTTTCACCCCAGTCCCCTTAGCCGTTTGGTGTTTGCCTCCTGATGCGGAGATCGTGCATTCGATCCTTGTGGTGTCGTCTCTTTTGCCTCGAAAAAGTCATTTTCCCAATTCCTTTGTGATGCCCTCCCTTTACTACACTAGCATATGATCCCTTTTCCTGTGAGGTCATTTGTTCCCTCTGCGGGGCCAGATCCTTAAATTGCTTGTAGGTATTCTTCCCGGACTTGGCTTCAGCAACCAATTGACCCCGAGTCGGTTTAGGTAGGGCCAGGGAGTAGATGTACAGAAACTGGTCATCATGTATGTTCATTCCGGGCACCTGAAGCAACCTATCTACTTCCCGAGACAGTGTGTCAACAGAAGTTCAGCGGCGTTGTCCAATGGTTGTGAGCTCATCAAAGGCTTTGTCAGCCGTGGTCTTATCTATGAATCTTTCTTTCATCTTCTTCAAGAAGTCTTTTAGAGTCTGTGTTTGACCCCCCTCCCCTATGTGCTCATATCCTACAGCGTTGGCTTTCGACAATACCCAGGTCTTGGCATCTTCACCAAGGCACGAGGTGGTGGAGGCCACCTGACTGCCTCCTCCAACAGGGCCAGTGGAACAGTACGTTTGTATTTCAACAGTCCATAATAGCAGATTCCCCCCTTTATTGCCGGTGCATGTGAATGGCATCTTCATCTTTACCTTCTCTTTCTCATGGCATCTTTCATCAACTTTTCTCCTACCTTTCGACTTTCTTTTCTTCTTTCTTTTCTTTAAAGACATGTTTCTTCCCTTTGAGCAGGTTTGTCAGAGTGGCAAGTTCTGCTCTCATCTGCTCTTTTTCCGTTATGACCTTGTCAAGCTTGGTCTCAATATCCGCCAAATACAATATCATATTCTGAAGCAAAGATGTCACATCCATTTCCTCGGGCTGCTCCTGAAAGAATCTTTGCCTTCTTCTAATTTCTTCTTTGCCATCTCTTCCTCTTCGTTCTCTGCAAGTATTATTCCTTCATTTTCCTTTCTTCTTCCAGTGCCTCTTAAAGTTGTGCAATGTTTGTATCTAAAATTTCAATGGTCACTTCTGGCTTTCTTTCTTTGGAACTTCCCTCCCCACTTTTTTCTATCTCTTTGTTCTTCTTGGTTTTGTTTGGCAATTTCTTCCAACCTGGCTGTGACAAACTGGTTCAGCTCCAGATGGGCCTGTGTCATGGCCCAAACCAGCGCGTCGCTGGCAGCCACTTTAGCCCTGATCCAGATTTGCCTCTGCTGTTTGCAAATCGACTCTGCTGAGAACATGCTGCTCTTCTTCAACACCTACTGCGTGTATTTCTGTCCGTAGGTCCAACAGGGACCGTTTGTGTTTGTTCTTTCTCTCTTCAACCTGTACTCTAGTTCTTGGTTCGTATAATCAAGGGACAGAGTGATAGAAATGGGAGAGAGTATCTGCGCAATGAACCTGGTTAGGAGAGAAGCACGCAACCAGGTCCAGATGAAAGCCGTGATTGGTTATGAGAATGTTGCACAATATGCCACGTATTTAACAATGGCATATTCCGCAACCTCATAAATCAATCAAAATTGCAATAAAGTTGAATAAACTGAAAAGAAATCAAATTGTGTTTTCCAAGTGGAACAGGCTATTCATTAGCAGGTAACGGAGAATCAGAAAATAGGAGCTCGGATTGGTGATCCAATTAACCGAAGCCAATCTTGCAACAGATCCCAATAAGGACTTCTACTGCGATATCCTAAGCTCGGCAAAGGAGGAGCTAGGTGAGTGGAGACGGTAGGAACTTAGGGGCTGCAAATTTGAGCTAGAATTACAGACTATACACTAAACGAATTTAACAAATCCATGTCTAGATTCTTCTTTGCCAAAATTAAATCCAATGCCAGAAACAAGATGAGAGAGGGACTACGAGACCCATCTGAACCACAGGGGGTCAGAACTGAAGGCACCGAGCTAGTCAAGATCGTGAGATCTTTCTGTGCGAGCCTCTACAAGGTCAGAACCCTTTTGCCCACCCCAGCAGAAAACCAAACAGCCCGCCAACGAAGGATGAGGTACTTGGAGAGAACCATCACCCAGGTACAAGCAGACATTTTGGACAGTCCCATCACTATGAGTGAGCTACAAACCGCCGTGGAACAGATGGGGAACGGAAAAGCTCCGGGTATCGACGAATTGACAAAGGAATTTTGGGTTCAGTTTTGGGCTTTCTTGGTGAGGACCTCTTCAATTTCTTTCACAACACATGGGAAAAGGGTGGACTGGGCAAATTTCTGAGCACAAGTGTGGATTCCCTACTGCAAAAGAAGGGGGACAAGGAGGATTTAAAGAATTATAGGCCAATTTCCCTACTTAGTACTCACAACCCCTTACAAAATTCTGGCAAAAACACTGGCTAACAGGATCTTCAATCTAACAGACAAGTGTTTCCACACAGACCATGCGGGGTTCATACCCGGGCGGTACATATTAGACAATATAATGTCCCTAAATGAAGAAGCAAAGGACATTCAGAGAGATGCATGAAGGCAGCTATCCTGTTCTTCGACTTCGAGAAAGCCTATGATCAAGTCAATTGGGACTCTCTCCATGACTGTACGTAGAAGATGGGAGTAGGTCCACACTTCAAGAAGTGGGTCAGGATTATGCATAATGATGCAACCGACAAAGTTCAGGTAAAATCTTTGACGCCTACCCCACCTCACGTTCAGTCGGGCAGGATGACCCCCTAGCCCCCCCCTTATTCCTATTCATCATGGAGGCCATAGCGTCCTTCTTACGCAAGGATCCACCTATTGACCGTCTGACTACTGAAGACAGAAAGGCCCTCCACAACTTTGCCCTCCCCATGGCGCTAATGTTAGCTGATGGACCATCAGATGGACGAAGGGCGGCATGCGCCTGGCGCCTTCTCGCCTGTGATCGCCAAAATGCCAGTCAACACCAAACTAAAGAGTGGTATGATGTGGAGACCATGGAGGACAGTTGCAGCAATACCATACAATTTGCTAGCTAGCCTGGTTGAACCATACCGCACTTTGCACCCGGGAGTAAGAGCTTTTACCTTAGTAAAGAAGAACCACGCCCAACACAGTGCTTTCTCCTTTATAGACTACTTTTTTATTTCAGAAACACTAATGGGAACAACCAAGCAAGGCATCCTCCCCCTACAGCCTTATACAGGGCTGGACCATAAACCAATTGAAATGATCATCAATTTTGAACAATTTGTGAAAAAAGGATCCATCTTTCAGAAGCTGAATAACTCGCTCCTACTAAGCCAATCCTTCCAAAAGGGTATCCTGGACTGCTGGCAGAATAGGAGAGGCATCTGCCTCCCCATCCAAGACAGGTGGGCTTGGTTCCAAGACAGCTACTCCACACTAACCCAGACAACAACCAACATATCAAGGAAATTGTCAAACGATAGGAAACAACGTAAAATCGCTTTAGAAGCCGCTCTAAGGGTCGCAGAGTCCAACTTAGTTGACAATCCATCTTCGCCCTTCTATACAAACATTTTCCACAAAGCAAGAGAGGAACTGGCTGTGTGGAGATGGTGGGAGTTAAAAGGTTTACAAATAAGATCGAGAATGAACGAGTATGAGCTCAGCGAGTCAATGTCAAAGCACTTCTTTGCAAGGATTAAAGAAAACACAAGATCCAACTCAATAGAGGGCCTTAAGACCCTCTCTGAAACAGCGGAAACACTAACAGACAGCAAAGGAATGCTAAACATAGCCAAGGAGTTCTATGAAGACCTCTACCATACAAAGACCCCGACCCCCACTCCCCCCATACTAGAGAACCGCAGACCACATTGGTCCAATACCTAGATAAAACTATCTCACAAGAACAGGCAGATGCTCTAGAGAACCCCATCACTTTAGAGTAACTGCAAGCGGCAGTCCAGAGTATGAACAACAACAAAACTCCAGGCATTGATGGAATAACAAAAGAATTTTGGGAGAAATTTTGGCCACTTCTTGGAGGTTATCTACTGA